TTTTAGCCCGTCACACACACACACAGACGCTCACACAGACACATGCACGCACACACACACACACTCTCACTCACACACACACACACACACACACACGCACACTCTCTCACACACGCACACTCACACACACACACTCACACACACGCACACTCTCACACACACGCACACACGCACGCTGTAACTTTGTTTCTAACTGCTGGTGTCGCTGTTAGAAGGTGTAACTTTAGTAAAATAAGTGATTTATACACTTTCAAATGTCGCATTTCAGAGAGTCCGAGACAGATCGATAAACGCTCATGTATTATTGAAATTTTTGAACTTGTCAAACACAAATGAACATCATAAGTTCTTTTAATGAGGACAAATGAGTTGAAGACTTACCCATCTATAAGTGCTGCCTTTGCTGTGTGTGTCTTTCCAGCTTTACTCTCATCCGGATCGTACCATTGAGAGAGATTAAACCTGTCGTCTGGGATCCGGACTGCACAGTTCTCTCCATGAAGGAGGACTCGCCAGAAGTTCTCAAGTCCCTCGCCTAAAGTGGTGGAGAACATACAATATAAATGCAATTTAGGCCAAAATCATAACATGAACAAATAATAAAACACTATAAATTGTTAACAGTTACCTCCTGGAAAGTGGCATCCAATGCCAACAACAGCGATTTCTACATCATCATCCATCATGATCCATATGCCATGTGTGTTGCAATCTATAGACAGCAAAAACAAACACTGAGGCATAACTAAATATTCATCCATGGCATTTCATATTTTGTCTGTCTTCCTCTTTCATGCATTTCTTTCTGCTTGAACTGATAAATACGCTTTTTAAAAGTAGATTTGTATGTGAAGTTTTATATTTATTGTATTAAGAATATTTATCATATATATTGTTAACCTGAAGGTGTCTATATTTTTCTTTTGTATAATATTTTATTTTATTTTTTTATTCTGACTCAGAGAACGAGAACAATTATAAAGCAAATGAAAAATGAAAAACATTGGCTTACCTGGATACACATGTTGAATATTGTCTTGTTGAAAATGCTTCCATGAGGCTGAGTCTACCCAATATTTATAAAGTTAAATGTAATGAGTTACTAGTATTAACAAGTACAATATTTAATTTAGCTGGAAATCATTACGTGTTGTTCAGGTTTTTTGAAGGAGATTTCCTGTAAGCTCATGAAATAATGTCTTAGGAAAACCCCTGACTGTAATTAGTCTCTTATGTAAGATGCTGTGATTTACACGGGAATAGGTAAAGTTGACTCAACTCTTTATCGCTTGTTTGATATTTAGATATAAACCAACCCAATGCAGCTTTATATTTCCCCAGATGTGCTGAAACTGAACCATACTGTATGCTAATTGTCAATGGTGTTTGACGATACGGGTCCTAAATGGGTTTGTGGTCCTGAGTCACAATTGACGAATTTTGCAACATTGACACTGTGATTGAACTGAAGCAACGCTGACTTGAGCTGATTCATTGATTAACACTATTGTCTGTATTGTACTCTATACTATTGTACTGAATATGAATTTGCATCATTGATTATTATTTTCCTGATGATTACTGTGAAGCTACTCTGAAACAAATCTGTGCCATAAAGCATTTTAGAAATGAAGGTGACTTGATGCTGTCTGCCTCTGATACTGAATAACTGATTCATATATTCATTACATTAGATTGCTGTGATTTGTTGTTAGATGGATGTCCTGCAGGCTAAATAAGCTATAATAAAAATATAATAAAAAATATAATAAACAATAAGCTTATTTAAATAAGAAATACTCTATGGTCATATCAGCCCAATACTTTTGTCTCTATATTGGCTACCTGTCAGGTTTTTTATTTTTTCAAATTTCAGATAATTATTTACAAAGCTTTGCGCTATAATCCTTCACGTTCACTTTAGTTCACATCACGAAACAGTAATTGTGTCTGAAATTCGTTTTGTCTCTATATCTATGTTTACTAAAAATGAAAGCTATATTCTATAATCCTCAAAATATTTGCATAAATTAAACAAAGTTATTGTCTCCCAAAAGACATAATCGATTCTGAACTCTGTAATTCCAGTCTCACTTCTATTCCCACATAGCCTGGGAAAACCCAGACAACTTCCGGCAAATTTAGATTTGCTCTGAAAGTTAGTCTGGCAAAGAGCTCATTCAAGACCATTTCCAATCCGCCAAAATCACGGCACCAATCAGAAGCGTTGGGGCGGGCTTTACACGATGACGACAGCGCTGGGATTTTGAAGCAGATCTTGTAGCCTATATTACAAAGATGGATGCCGCCGTCGAACATCACTCGTTCCAATCAGCTATCGCGTCTGTTTTAAGCGATTTGAACGTTTCCTTTTTGTTAAAAACCGAGCAAAGAACAACACTCGGAGATGTGTCTCCGCCGCTCTGCATACGTCATCTCCTTCATCGCTCTAATTGGGTTTAGGTCTATCCGCGACGTCCGCTGGTGACGCCCCTCTGGAAATGATTCGTCTATGACGCTTTGCCAGACCATAACTCAGTTACAACTGAGATGGTCTGGTTTTAACCAGGCTAATTCCCACAGCATTCATACATAAAAATGTAACAAATTTGCATACTCATCACCTATTGGCTGCCCACGAACAACGCTACTTTGCCCCTCAAACACTGCAGCTGGTTCGAGTTGTGTACATGTCGAGAAGACGCTGTTTTCTGCTCTGATAAAGCTCATCTCTTTGTAAACCCTTCTAAAGGATGAGGATGTGAAGAGTCAGAGGTTAGGATCACCACAGCAGAATAACCTTCAGCTGCTTCACAAACCTCTGATTTACCTCTGATTTTTCAATCAATTTCAATTCTTATCCATTAAAGACGGGTCAGTACACACTTTATTTGGATAGAATCACAACCTGAAAGTATGATTAATTATTGATGTATACATTTTCTCTCATGTGTTCGAAATATGTAGTTTTGTGTTTTATATTGTGTAGGTCTCTGACTAACCGGCAAAATAGTTCTGCTAATCAGTTGTGGGCCACTATTACCTAAAACTGTCTATTAATGCAGATTGACAATTCAATTACACTACTTTGTCCCCAGCAAAACGATAGAAGATCTTACTGACACAAACGCTTAAAGGGACAGTTCACCCAAAAATGAAAATTAGCCCATGATTTACTTAACCTCAAGTCATCCTAGGTGTATATGACATTCTTCTTTCAGGCGAATACAATCAGAGTTATATAAAAAAATGTCCTGGCTCTTCCAAGCTTAATAATGGCAGTGAATGGGTTTATGTCTTTGGAAGTCCATAAAAGTTCATCCATCCATGATAAAAGTCCTCGACAAGGCTCTGGCGGGTTAATAAAGGCCTTCTGTTCGCCGGAGTGAGGAGATAGTTAGTAGATTGTGTTCACTCAATGGCTGACTGTCTAAGTGGTGTCCGCAAAATAATATAGAATTCATAGACAATTGGAAAAGTTTTTGGGGCAAGCCTGACCTGTTGAAAAGAGATGGTATCCATCCCTCCTGGGCTGGTGCTGCTCTTCTCTCTAGTAATTTGGCTCATAGTCTTAAGGGGCTTTCACACAGGACGCGGAATGCGCTGTGCTGGGTTCAACGTTGCCCTTCAGATACAACGTGATTTGCGCTGCGCTATGCCAGAGCAAAGTAGGCGGAGTTTTCAAAAACTTTAAGCGGGAGTTCTACACGTCAGTATAATAACGTTAGTTATTTTGATTGTTGTTCCTCCTTTCGGTCAGCAGTAAACTAAGTATCTGTCCCGTGCACAGTGCTAGCCGTTCATCCATTTTGATTTCCGTGTTTGTTTGGAAGTCCCGTTTCTTTTGGCCGCGCTGGTAATCGTAACAGAGCGCACCGGCAAAAGTTGAACTATTTTGAACTTTGACCGCGGCGTGTGCGCGCGAGCTGCGCACCGCTGCGCTTGCGCTTTGGTCGACGCAGCAACAAAACGTCTTCGCGCGGCGCAAGCCATTGAAATGAATGGGTTTCATAGCGCAGCGCATTCCGCGTCCTGTGTGAAAGGCCCATTAGAGCTAAAACATGACAATCTGGGGCTCAGGTCAGGAAGCAGACAGACTGGCTAAACCGACCGTCTGCCAGCGGCCTCACGTCACCAAGGTCAGATAAATCCCATCACATAGAGCCTCTTTCACCTAGATATCATCATATAGAGACTGTGTCTGTTCCCTGAATTTGGAAATCCAAAAAAACGTCCAAACCTATCTAAGGTTAAAAATGTAATTGATGTTCAACACATAAAAAGCAGATATAATACAGATGAGCAAACGATAAAGCTTGGGTTGCTGAATATTCGATCCCTTACTTCAAAAGCACTCATAGTTAATGATATGATTTCGGGGGGGGGGGGGGGGGTGGTTCTGTAAGGATCTATTTGCTAATGTTTAATTGACCTAAAGGCACAGAATAGATGGATTACTCTTTAACTTAAATCAACACTTTTTAACATTAGTGCTGATTTACATTCCAACAGGATCAGGAACAAGGAAATGTTGACCAGGAAATATTGTCTCTGCTATATATAATGGCATCCAGGAGAAAACATTAGCGGCAGAGGGGTTTATGCATTCATGCATATACCGTGTCAATAAATTACTTACTTACAATTTACTTCAGTGACAATTGTGCTGAGATCAAGATCTTTTAATGCAAACATAAAATTCCCAATGTTCAGTAATGTGGTCTAATCAATGTACTTGAATGTAACTGGATTACAAATGCAAAGTTGTCTTTGCATTGACATGTTTAAATTAATAGATGTGCATATAATAAATAGAACTGGATGAAAAGGGATTTAAAAAAAGTTTTGATTAAAACAAACACACAAAAACATGTAAGATGCAGTGTATACATAAGAACAGAACAGTATGATTCCTATTACTTGCGTGGTCAAACAAAAGTGATGAATGTAGAGTGTAAGCATCCATAGATACTGACTGCCAAATAAACGAGTGCCTTAACCTACACTTTTGTTAAGAAAGGGACGTAATAGTTTTTAAAGAATGAATCCATTGGCATTTCAAATGCAACACAACAGCCTCCATCATCACCAGTGGCTTCTGGGACTTTCATGCAGGTCAGCCAGTGTCTGTTGCCTTTCTCTCTCCAACCATTCAGTGCGAGACACGCGCCAAAGAAGGTGATGTTGAAGAGGTAGTAGAACAGAAGAGCTGTGCTGGTGTACATGCAGAAGGACTGAACTGAGCGGAAGGGCGTCAAGAGACCGATGTAGAAAGCCAGCACATCTGTCAGCGTGGTGATAGTGATGGACACTGAACACAGCCACCCACACCTTCATCCTGACAGTCTAACCTGTGGGAAGAGACAAGGGATAAATGACATAGCTACTGATAGAAACATGTGCTAATGTGATTTTTACTTCTTTATGATACCTTAAACAAGACAGAATTGGGTAACAATTTAGAAATACTATTCTGTCATTAATTAATAACTGTACAGGAACAAATGAGTAACGCATTATTAATACTGTAAGTCAAGTCAAGTCACCTTTATTTATATAGTGCTTTTTACGACACAAATTGTTTCAAAGCAGCTTTACAGAGATAACAGGAAAATAATGTTGTAATAGTACTGTTAAATTTAAAATTAAATGTTATATGTCCCCAACTAAGCAAGCCAAAAGCCAGTGGCGACAAAGGTGAAGAAAGGCGAAAAAGGCGACAGTGGCAAGGAACCAAAACTCCATCAGGTGACAGAATGGAGAAAAAAACCTTGGGAGAACCCAGACTCAGTCAGGGGGCCAGTCCTCCTTTGGCCAACGAAGGAACAGTCTCTGATTTTGATTTAGGCAGCATAATAGGTCAGAAGTCAGATGGGATCAGAACTTTCACGATATTTATCCAGTTCATCTGGTTTAGGTTGGAGTCATCACGCCGGTGTGGAGATGAGTTTGTTGAGGTGTCCATGAGGCCTTCACAGGGTTGATGAGGCTGGCACTTCAGGGATGCGTTGTCGTCGTGTCCATGTGATGGTCCTTCCTCAGATCTGGATATGGTCTGGATCCGGCGGTTTGCGGTAAACCTCGGGATAAACAGAGAGACTAATATTAGCGTAGACGCCATCCTTCTTAAGATGTACAAAGTACATCAGGAATTATGAGAAGTGTTCCCGGTTCCGGCTGATCTAAAACTATACAGCCTAACATTGAATTATAGAAATCTATAATGTGTTATGTGTATGCTAAGCCAAAGAGATGTGTTTTTAGTCTAGATTTAAGCTGTCAGACTGTGTCTGCTTCCCGGACCATGTTAGGAAGATTGTTCCAAAGTTTTGGTGCTAAATAGGAAAAGGATCTCCCGCCAGAAGTCGATTTTGAAATTCTAGGTATTATCAACTGGCCAGAATTTTGAGATTGCAATAGACGTGAAGGACTATAATGCGTTAAGAGCTCGCTCAAGTACTGCGGAGCTAAACCATTTAGTGCTTTGTAAGTAATCAACAATATTTAAAAATTTATACGATATTAATAGGGAGCCAATGCAGTGTTGACAGAACCGGGCTAATATGGTCATACTTCCTGGTTCTGGTAAGAACTGTAGCGGCTACGCTTCGAACTAGCTGTAGTTTGTTTATTAAGCGTGCAGGGCACCCACCCAGTAGAGCATTACAATAATCTAGTCTTGATGTCAAGAACGGATGAACTAATTGTTCTGCATTTGTTAATGAGAGCATATGGCGTAATTTAGATATATTTTTAAGATGGAAAAATGCGGTTTTACAGATACTAGACACGTGACTTTCAAATGAAAGATTGGTATCAAAGAGCACACCCAGGTTCCTAACCGACGACGAAGACTTGACAGAGCAACATTAAGTGTTAGACAGTATTCTAGGTTTTTGTGGAAACCTGTGGAAGTTTTTTGTCCAATAATTAGAATCTCTGTTTTTTCAGAATTTAGTAGTAGGAAATTACTAGTCATCCAATTTTTTATATCACCTATGCATTTCGTTCATTTTGTGAATTGGTAAGTTTCGTTAGGTTTTGAAGAAATATACAGCTGAGTATCATCAGCATAACAGTGAACGCTAATTCCATGTTTCCTAATGATATCTCCTAATGGTAGTGTGGCATCAGGGGCTCGGGCTCATTGAAGAATACTAACCGCCCTAAGGGCGCACAGATTCGTTATCAACGTGGGCAAAGAGACGTGGGTGAAACACATGTGCAAAAATAAGTATTTTTTTATTTCTCATATGCATTTACATAATAAATAATTAAAAAGGTCACATAATCTCAGGCTCAACTTCACAGTAACATGTACCATCTGTATCATACAACAACAACAACATACTCACAAGAAACCCTTTGACCGGAGTGGTGGTACCTGGAGGTACAGGCTAGCCGCTAATTTAATATGAGCCCCTATCCCCATACACGCGCTCCCACACACACGTGAAGATTAGCTGCAAACAGACACACGGCATAGGTGTAACCACCCCACACACAATGGCAGCTAGCCACCCCTCTCCAGGAACCTCCAGCTCCTACAAAAGAAGAAATCACACAAAAATGGATCAGCACATTTAAAACACAATATAAACTCACCATAACACACAGAAAAAATACAAATCACTGTTCTCCTAAGAGAAAACATATTCAAAGCACACAGTTCACTCAATCAACAGCAATCAATACAATGCACAGAATGCACGGCAAACTATAACGAATAACAAGCAATCATAAACATCAACTCCATTCACAACTATAGTATCACGGTTGAAACGGTGGCCGCGGGTAAAGGCAGACCAACCAGCACACAGTATCTTTACGGCGTGCACAGTCATCCGGAGATTAATCGTAAAAGCAAGACATACATCAGAGTTGGACAGGTGGCCGCGGTTAAAAGCAGACCGACCAGCACACCGGATCGTCACGGCGTGCGCAGTTACCAGGAGATACCCAATAGAAGCAAAACAGCAACATAGTCCCACTCAACCGTTCCCCAAGTTAGATTTGTCGCTCGATCCCATTAGATACAACGGGGGAGCCCTCAGATATGCCGATAACCCTGCCGAGCATAACAATATGTTAATGAAAGTAATATAACTAAGGTCGACAGATATAATTATACATACCAGCAGATGTAATCGGCCCATTCATGGCCACGCGCCATGCGGGGATACAGACGCTCAGTCGGAAGCATGCCGCTGTAATTGACAGACTATGAATATCTCGCTGAGAGCAGCAAGGGATAACTCACACGTAAACAAACTAATGTTACCTGAGACGAATCGGCTGCACGCGCCCAGCAGACAGGGAGACCAGACCGCGGTTAACCCTTAGGCGGCCACGGATGAAAGTGACATCCGACGCCGCCAAGGCACACATCCGGTCGCCCAAATCCCCTTCCTTTATATGCCATCCCACGGCGCCCAATCAACTACTTGCATGTGCATGCTCTCAGTAGGTGGAGTTAGTCCACCCTGCTACAGTAGGATGTGCAGAGTGAACAGCAATGGTCCTAGAACTGAGCCTTGTGGTACACCATACTGAACTTGTGATCGATAAGACATCTCTTCATTTACTGCTACAAACTGATAACGGTCAGATAAGTATGATTTAAACCATGCTAGTGCAATTCCACTAATGCCAAGATAGTTTTCTAGTCTATTTAAAAGAATGTTGTGGTCGATAGTATCAAATGCACCACTAAGATCAAGTAACACTAATAGAGAGATACAACCACGATCGGATGATAAGAGCAAATCATTTGTGACTCTAATGAGAGCAGTCTCAGTACTATGATACGGTCTAAATCCTGACTGAAAATCCTCGCAGATATAATTTCTTTCTAAAAAGGAACACGGTTGTGAGGATACTGCTTTTTCCAGTATCTTTGACAGAAAAGGCAGATTCGAGATCGGCCTGTAATTGACTAATTCTGTATGATCAAGTTGCGTTTTTTTAACAAGCGGTTTAATCATAGCCAGCTTAAAGGTTTTTGGTACGTATCCTAGAGACATCTACTTTAGTAACTACTATTAACTAAAAATAAACTCTATTAACGTATTAGTGAGTAGGGAGGGTGGGGTAAGATGAGCCAGTGGGTAAGTTGACCCAGCCCCTTTATCTTGGCAACTGTACACTTGTATTGTCATGTGACAATATATTTTGGAACCACCCATCATTTCTACCAGACTGAAAAGGAAAAGCACATGGGAAGCACCCATTTACTTTAAAAACTGTTTTTGGATTGTCAAAATAAAATTTGAGCAGAACCAATGTTATTGTTGTTACGTCTAAGCAAATTTGTCCAGGTCTAAATGATCCATATTGGTGATATAGCAATGTATAAAACCATGCAAATCATTTGGCTAAATATTAGCCTGAATTGGTAAGCTAGCTAGTTTTGTCCAAAATGTCAGCTTGAAGTCCCTGTAAATGCAATAAAAAATAATAATAATAATAATACTAAAAAAAATGTAAACACATTATAAATGTTAGAAATGTATTGCTAAAACATATTACAAAGACTGTGAACTGTAAAGTACTGAATTGTGGAGTTAGACCGTTAAACAGTTTTTCACCATTGCTGTGTTCCGGATTTTTTGCAGGGCTAAAACTGGAGTCCCTGAGCTCCTGGACACGCCCCTACTTGATGACGCACTGGAGCCCCTGAGCTCCTGGACACGCCTCTACTTGATGACGCACTGGAGTCCCTGAGCTCCTGGACACGCCCCTACTTGATGACGCACTGGAGCCCCTGAGCTCCTGGACACGCCTCTACTTGATGACTCAATGGAGTCCCTGAGCTCCTGGACACGCCCCTACTTGATGACGCACTGGAGTCCCTGAGCTCCTGGACACGCCCCTACTTGATGACGCACTGGAGTCCCTGAGCTCCTGGACACGCCCCTACTTGATGACGCACTGGAGCCCCTGAGCTCCTGGACACGCCCCTACTTGATGACGCACTGGAGTCCCTGAGCTCCTGGACACGCCCCTACTTGATAACGCACTGGAGCCCCTGAGCTCCTGGACACGCCCCTACTTGATGATGCACTGGAGCCACTGAGGCTGGCCCCTCCCCTAACAATATAAATAGAGCACATTCACATCAGTTTGCCACTCAATCGCGAGTTACTTTCGGTAGTATTAGTTACTACAGCCTACAGTTTGCTAGTTAGCTATGCCTTCGTCATGGAAATGCGTACTACCTGGATGCGACCACGTACAAAACAGATCGGTGTCCTTATTTAAATTTCCGAAAAACGATCACATCAAGAAGAATTGGATTCATTTTGTGAAGAGCCACCTTGATGTAGAGCTGAGGATCACCGCCAAAACCTTCCTCTGTAGTGATCATTTTACACAGGATAGTTTTATAAACTTAGATTCACTGGGATTCACTGATAATCCGATGTTACTGGTGAATGGGGCCGAACCGACTATCTCCTGCCTCGGCCTTCATCCTCCCATCGTGCCGAAAACTGGTGTATCATCGGCAGTGCGTGCCCACCGTGCGAGCATTCATTCCGGCTGTAGCAGTGACAGTTGAGTGTGGCAACGGCAGCTTTCTTGCGAGTGGGCGTGGTTTCAGCGAAGCCAGTGGACACGCCCCCAGCTTTAGAGAGCAGAGACTACTGCTATTTTTTTCAAGATTTTGATAGCTTATTTTATGTACTTGCCGGCTTTTTTTATCATTCAAATTTGACTGGGTGGCTAATAACACATTTTTCTGTGGTGTGACAAACTCAGAACACATACTTAATTTTGACTTTACAGGGACTTTAACACAAGTCATTATTATCCAAAACCGTCATTATTATCCAAAAGCTTACAAAAATACCACATTCGACTGAGCGCTATTATTCACTAATTCATTAATCAGAGCTTCTTGTTAGTTAACAGTAGCTAATAGAGTGTTAATAATGAGTTACTCATTTGTTCCTGTGTAGTTATTAATTAAAGACGGAAGAGTATTCTAAAGTTTTCCCCAGAATTTAAATGGTAATGGACAAGAAATATGTAACAGAGAAGAGGGGGATCACAGAGTCTGAATTGGTCTCGAACTCATTCCGTCTTGGTATTGATGTGAAGACAGACACATTGACCTGTAGAAATGAAAAGAAAAAAAAAACCTGTTCTGAATAATTACTGTACACATGTTTCATTGTGTATTCAGTTAATGATTTCTGTATACTTGAATTGCTGTCCAAATGAGTTTTGGTGCTTGACTTATTGGAAATGCTTGGATAAATGTCATATGAGCTTTAGATCTTCTCAGTTCTCGCTCATGCGTCGTGGCTCTCGAGAACTCACGTCAAAGGCTCACATGGAAGAAAATGAGTAGTTGAATAAAGTCATTATTTTTGTGGGGTTTTGCGCACAAAAAGTATTCTAGTCACTTGATAAACTTAAGGTTGAGCCACTGAAGTCACTTGGACTATTTTAACGATGTCTTTACTAACTTTTCTGGGCTGGCAGATGAAATGACCTTGTAGCCTATGAAAGAGTGAGCCAGTTCTCAGATTTCATCAAAAATATTATAATTTGTGTTCCGAAGATAAACAAAAGTCTTACGGAGTTGGAACAACATGGGTTAGTAATTACTGACAGAATTTATTTTTTGGGTGAACTAACCCTTTCAGTTCCTCTGAGGCCCCGTTTACACGAGAACGATTCCGGGTGAAAACGTAAAAATATTTGATCGTATGTGCCTTTCGTTTACATGGCAACGGCGTTTTGGGGGCTTAAAAACGCAAAAAAGTGAAACCACCCTCCAGAGTGGAAATCTTAAAAACGCTCCACCGTCGCGTTCCCGTCTAAACGGTAAAAACGCAAATCTGCTCACGGTGGCTCTCGTCGCGTACGCGTTTACGTCATATGCATGCGCCAGTACAGGAAAATAACAACCAACATGTCAGATTATTTCCATACGTCGGACCTTCAAGTTGCCCTAGCAGCTCTGAAAAACATACAAGAGTCTTTTCAGCAGTTAAAAGACTAAGATAAGGCTAAGATATTGGTGTTGTTGTGTGGCAGTGCTTCACATTGCCACCTAGCCACCTGGAGTGCATACTACATCGAATTTCACACACTTTTGCGTCACCATATGCACGCGGATTTCCCAACCATAACGCTCGTCTAAACGCAGAATAAAAAGTGATAACGCAACGCCACTTTTGTGTTTTCTCTTCAGATTGTTTCCGTGTAAACATAGCATGAAGCTCAGCCGATGTAGTTGCTGCAGTAAACATTGTTGAATCATCTGCATACATAACTAAATTAGCATTATCAACACACTATAAATCATTTATAAAAATAGAAAATAAAAGTGGACCTAAACAACTTCCCTGTGGAACACCGCAGTAAGTATTTTTGGTCTCAGAAAAAGATCCATTATAAAATAGATTCTGATTCCTATTAGAAAGATAACTTCCAGTCCAGGCTGTACGTGAAAAACCATAACATTTCAGTTTGGCAACAAGAATATCATGGTCAATAACATCAAAGGCTGCTGTAAAATCTAAAAGAACAGAAC